ACCCATCTCACTGTTGAAGCAATTTTGCATTGGAAGTGAGGTTGTGTAACGGTAATGTTTACTCTGGAGTGTATTCATTTTTTTAAACCATAGTTTGTAAGGCTTCCAAACCTCTACACCTTTTCTTAGGGATAAGGGAAGACTAAGCAGGTAGGATTTGCTTCATAGCAAATGTGTGCAGTATAAGCACTCAAATTCTAAGCAGTTTTGAAAACTGTTTGGAAGCCCTGATTATTTTTTTTTAACCAATTTCATATTGGTAAGCCAAAGAGCCACCAGGGTCTTAAATTCTCATCTTAACCCAATTGATGTGGACATATTCCCAGTTGCCCCAAAAGCATTGAGTAATGTGTTACTTTCTGCACATAAATTTTTAAATCCTTTTGCAAAAACCAACAATATTGATGGTTTCTTCAAGGCAGTTAGTAAAAGAAGGGATAGATCCATAAAAGTTTTGCTGGCACAGTATACTGGACTGTCCATGGGAAAGAGGTTTGCTTCTCAGTATATTTGTCATCTCAAATTTCTTATGAAATAAATGGGATTTATTTTAAGTGCCCTCAAAGGCTTAATCTTATTTCACCAGTTTCAGGAAAGGCAGGCTAATGATTTTAAAATAATAAGGCTAGCAAGAGCTTTTCAGGAAAGCCGGAGCACTGGCTATAGGTGATGGCAGCTGAGAGTTTTCTCAGAGGTCAGCCATACTGCCAGAATAATTAAATCAGTTCTATAGCAAGTGGCTTTTTTTTTTCTCCCTTCCCAAATAGCAGTTGGGAAAATAATGGTTTTTCTCCTATAGAGGAATGTTAAGGTGAGCTGTCTCTCTTTCTTATTGAGATGCCTGGGCTTAATGACGCCAAGTGCTTGCAAGGGGAGGGTGAATCTCCCTCCCCCCCCCCTTTTTTTTTGTGGTAAATGCAGATTCTTTTGCTCCACCAGGGCCTCAGCCAGTGCTATGAATCAGCACCTGCACGCCAGATTGAGAGATAACAGGGCTTGGTTTAATTGCTGGCTGATTAGTTCAGTCTCCCCGCCCCTTTCCCCCCCACTTTTTAACCTGATCAGTTACATCTTCTCTGGGCTTTTCACCTGGGTCATTTTGAAAGCGGGATGCAATAGCTCCACCTTATCTTCCACTGCTTCAGAAAGTAACAATATTTTTGACGGGATGACCTGTTTAATAAACGGGGGAAGCAGAATGACACCATCAATGTTAATGAAACCGGTTTGGAATTCCTGCCAAGAGACACCCCAGAAAGAGATCTGGGGGAAAAAAATTAAGGTTTGAAGCTACTAGGCACCCATGTAGGATTGTCATGGGGTTTACTAGTGAGTGGTACACAGTGGGCAGTTTCACACATCATGCCCAATCCCTGTTTCTGGTTTATCAAAAGGCCATTCTCAGCATTGTCATAAGGTGCTATGCCTGAAGGAATAAACCAAGTGATAGCTTAAAGGGACAGGACAGACTTGTGCCTTATATGGCTGTTTGCAGCATGCTAAGCCAGCAACTAACCCTGATTTTAGCTTAGAATCTTTGAAGAGCCCTGCCAATGTTTTGGTTATCTTGGGTGGTTAATTTAATAAACCATGGCTAAATTAACCATGGATCCATAGAGCATAAATCATAATTCAAGAATAGCTCTTAATACTACATTTCCGTCCTTTTGGAAGCTTAAAAAAAGAAAGATGGAGAAATGTAAAATGCTTAATGCCCTAATCCTGTGCAGTTCTATTTTAAGCTAAGTTTCATGGAGTTTACTCAGAGAAAATAAGTTATACAATGGACATCTAAGAAGGATTTTGGCGTTTACAACCAATTTTATTAAAATGAATAAGGTCCCATATATAAAATTTGTTAGGTGCTAAGAGATTCTTCCTGATTTTAGCATCAATTCTGTAAACCAGCTTGTATAGAATTGCTTTTAAAATGCAAGGAAATCCTCCTACATGTTGCCTAGTAATTTTTTAAAAAAGAAAGCAATAATTTGATCCAGGCAAAATTTAACACTTTTTGTATGTAACTTCAGTGGAAGAAATCCTGATCCTTTATATTCCCCCTGAAATCAGGTCAATAAAACTTCCTCAATATGCCTTCCAAGCACTTGAAGTGGTGAGAAGTTAGTAACTTTTATCTGGATCTCAGCCCACAAAGCTTGCAACATTTAGGAGGACAAATCTAATCCAAAGTACGCTCCTTTCCCTCTCTACCAAAGGGAAATTGCAGTATCTGTATATATATATATGTGTGTGTGCCTATAAATTTTTCAATGGAATATGGTTGTTTTTTTAAAAAAAGTGCTAGTTTTTTTTTTAAAATCCCCCCCACTACTTAATCTATTTCCACTGATTACAGTTTAACTCCCTTCCAAGTAAGTCTACTTTGCACTGCACAGCAGGGAAGTGTGTGTTTGTGTGTTGCTATTTTTTTTTTGAAAGGCAAATAAATGCAGATAGAACTTGAGCCACCAATCTGCCGCCTCTCCCTGAGTTTTATGGCTCCAGTATTTCGTTGCAAGCTTCTTAGGGGTCCAAAGAATGGACTCTCCTATTTTTACAGATGACAAAACTGGGCCAGGAAAGCGGCTTGCCTTACTGTTTCAATAGACAGACAGACAGACAGACAGGGAGAGTCAACCGCCTCCTTCGTAGGTTGAGAAGACCAACTTCATCTGGATGCGGTTGCTTCCGCGTGAAGCTAAGCAGGCAGATTTGGTTTTGTCAATTCCCGCACCCTCTTCCCTACAGTTGGGAAGATTCCCGGTTGTGGACCTGAAAATGAGGATCGAGTGTATGTGTGTGTGTGTGGGGGGAGTTTTTTCTTCCTTTTGGGGACTAAGGAAGGATCTCAGTCGGTAACGGAAGATCCCAAAGCTCTAGAGCAACTTAGCCAGGTTCTCTTTACGGCCTATTGATTGCAACGGGACGCCGAACTCTTTGCCATTTCCACCAACGGCCTAGGTTGTTAGAATGGGCGACCCCAACGTAGAGAATAACGGCATTATTTATTCCCCACGAGCGAGGCCGATTGTGCGAGGATAACATTAAACAATATACCATAACTGTAGAAAACCGGGGAGGTTTTTCCCGACCGGTCTGGCTTTTTTCCTTTGCCGCTCGCGGTTCCCTTTTCTTCGGAAGGCGAGCGTGGGCGTCGTCTAAAAGCAAGCTTCAGCATCGCCGGCGAGCTTTTTATTCTTGTGCTATATAAATCGATTTCATCAGGCGGGACGAGCCGTCCCACGCCCGGGAATCGCCGAGCGGCTTCGGGAAAGGTTTACTGCCTTTTTTTTTTTTTTTTTGGTAAAATTAATTTTGAGAGTCACTGCGGAGCTCCCGCTGGAGGAATTCAATTCGTTGTGGGGAGCTGGATCAAAAGAAAAAGGCGAACGGCGTCGGAGGGGTAGAAAAATGGGTCTTTGGGGATTTCTCCAGGGATCTTCTCCCCGGTTGAGAATGGGGCCTCCCCGAGACTTTGCACCCGCAGAGCGAGCGGATGGTTTGCCTGTCCAGGCAGCGGCGCCAAAGGAGCGAAGGCGGCTCCTTCCAAAGAGTTAAATCGAAGCGAACCAAACCGCGCTCCCTGTTAACGGGCCCAGAGCCAAAGGAGATCCCGAAGGTGGATCGAGCTCTGCTGCCGACCGAAAGGATCCCCTTAGGGGGCTTCAAGGCCCCCCGTTTCGCTCCACCGGCTTTAACGGCCATAACGGGCGAAAGGAAGCGCTGCTCTTAGAATCCTTAGAATAACAGCGTTGGAAGAAGGGACCTTGGGAGGTCATCTAGTCCAAGGGGATTTTAAATAAAGAGCGTTGCGGGACGGCGGGGAAACCTAAAGCGAATTCCAAGGGGCCCCAAGCTCCGGGGCTGCCCATGGCAAGAGGTTGCTTTAAAAGCACCAGATGATCCGGTCTCGGGAAAAGTTTCCAAGCTGGTTCTGTAGGAGATGCGTCAGGATTCTTTAAGGAGTAGCTGAATTCGGGGGGAAAAAACGGGAAACATTCGCCTTTAAGATCAGTTTCCTTTTACGCTTCCTCTTCTCGTTTGCCGCGAAACATTCAGGTGTATTCTAGTTTTGCGACGGTCAATCGAACTCCGATTTTTTTACTTCTCTTCGGTCCCCCCCCTAAAAAAAAAAAACATCTCGGTTATACGGATAGGGGTGGCACTTACACAACCCCCTTAAGCCGGGCTCATCCATTTATGGCCAGTTCGCCCTACAGATTGCCTCCCAAGGAACCAAACGGATAGGGCTCGCACCACGGGCTAAACCATCTTAAAAAAAAAAAAAACTTTCTAACCGAGGTGGAGAATCCAGCAGGGGCCGCTGACCCGAATCAACCGGTCGTGTGAATGCATCGGGAAAAAAAAATCTCTTTCCCCCCCACTCCCCCAAAGCCATTACCAAAACCCACTAGCTCTGCACTCTCAATTTGGGCAGGTTAAATTTTGGGGGTGGTGGGGGTGGTGTGAAATTCCCGTGGAACTTGCATGCGGCGAGAGTGGCTTCCTGCTTGCTGGCTTTCGCGTCTCTCCCCAACTCCGGTGGTGGTGACGCATCCAGCCAAGGGAGCCACCTCCAAGGGGTTAATTTTCCTCGCCGCGCGGGGTCCAGCTGGAAGCGTGCGCCGCAGCATGAAGCTCTTCCCAAGCCGGGGTTGCGTGCGCGCAAATTGAGCGCTTTCCCCGCCCCCGTTGCTAGCCATGCGTGTTGAGTAGCCTTCGGGGCAGGCTGGCGCTTTCCCAGGCGCGCGCGTGTTTTTTTCTGTGTGTGTGTATGCGCGCGCGCGCGCGCTTTTGGAAAGGCTCCAAAAACCCCGAGCGGGCGGGGCTTCTTAAGCTCAGGCTGCTTCCCCATTGGCTAACCTTTGCGCCGCCTGCCTGGGCCCACCCCGGGGTGGAGTTATTCTAATAAGGTGACCATTAAGGGTGGCAGGATGGGAAAAAGAACCTCAGTTATTAAATTCTCGGACGGAATTTGATTCCCCGCTACTTCATTTATATATGCCTGTCTTTAAAGCAGCTCCTTGAAGGTTGAGGGGAAGAGAGTTCTGCTTTATCTCCAGCGCCTTCCCTCCTTGGATTTACCAATACTTTTGGGGCTGGGGTTGCTTTATAACCTCCCCGCCCTTCGGGTTCTATATCCTTGTAGAAATTGACTTTTTCAAAAAAAAACAAAAAAGCAAATACTTTTGGGGAATACTGGACGCCATGTTGTGGAAACTAGCAGACAATGTCAAGTACGAAGAAGACTGCGAGGTGAGAGTTTAAGGCGGGGTGAATGTGGCTAGTCCTCATTGATCAGACTTGGGGGTGGTGTCTCGTTGCTGCTTTGATTACCGGCTTACTTCGTTCCCGTCCATGCAGAAGTTAAGTGGGGGGAGGGGGGGAACAGGACAGATCAAGGGAGCTTAGTGGACGATTGCCTTATTAAATCCGAGCTATTGGAAGGTAAAACGTTCCTCCAGGTTGTATTTGGGAATGTAGTAGTTGGCTTTCAGGAGCGCTGCGTCCCGGGCATGTGTATGTAGTATGGGGCTTTCTTGACATTCGTAAGTCTTGACTTAACTAGTTAATAATTTGAAGGTGCAAGTCCTACGTTGAAGTCAAAGCTACCTTGCAGTTCAGGCGCGTAAAACAGATCCCGGGGAAATCGGATGAGCCTTACTTACTCCCGGGCACGTACTTTTTAAAGAGGAGCGCACTAGATCTCCAGTACCGGATCGCCGAAAATGTGAGTGTTCGGCTTTAACTTGGTTAATTGTATTGTATACAATACAATTATAAATGTTAATTGTATAGCGATGCCTGCGCTTCCGTTTTTTATTTTGTTTGTTTTTTTGTTTTTGACCCTGGTAAAAATAAAATGGAGACGGGGCTTGCAAGTCTCGGATGCGATTCGGAATTTAAGTGGGATGCGCTTTTTCGGTTATTTTATTTTCCCTTTTCAAGCCTGGCGGTGGTGGGTCCTCCCGAGATCCTCGGTTTTGAACGTTGGCCTCTTCTGCCTCTTTCAAGGCTCCTGGACAAGTTTCCAGAGCGGGCCCCCCCTGAGGGTCAGAAATAAGGCTTTTAAAAAGTTTCAGCGGGACTTTTAATGTTAGCGGTGTAGGATTTCACTCGCATCCCCGCCGTCATACGCTCCAAGGCGGCTTCGGGGTCGTCCTTGAAAGCAGCTTGCTCACATTTGAAATAACTGCTTGACTTCCTTTCTAAAAGTACAGGGTCTCCCCTTTGGCCCGCTGCGTTGTATCCCTAGAGGTGGACAACGATTCCGCCCCCCCCCACCTTCCAGTAGCATCCTTCGGATCCACCTCGCGTCCCCCGAGCAACTTTTTTTGTGCAGAGCCTGGGAGCCAAAAAGGGCTCCCGCGAGAGACGGGCCGGGCGCTTATTTCGCGTGGGACCTGACCGACTGGCCAGCCTGATAACTATCGCCCTTTCCGGAGGAAGATCGTGAAAAACCCCGGCCAAGAGTGTGCAGAAACCCTGAAGTTTAACATTCCTTCTCCCTAGCGCCAGCCATATACCAGGCTTCGGTGGCGATCGCTTTAAATAAACCGGGTATAAAACCCTTAAATCGGATTATTTTTTTTTAAAAAAAAACAAATCCCGTGAGTGCGCGCGTCCCACAAGATGCCAGCCTTCGCTTTTATTTGCAAGAGTCCCGCCTGAATTCCCCCTTCCAACAACCGGGTTAAATGTGTTGTAAGAACGCAGCCGTTGGTAAGTCGGAAAGAAGTGGCCTTGAACTCGACGGGGGTTATACCCGGTATAGGATTATACCCCCCCTCCACCCGATCCCAGCCCCTTTTAAAGAAATCTGCTTCTTTAACAAAAACAAACAAACCCAACTTTGTTTTCGCTCCCGGCCTGCCCAAAGCTTTTCCACGCGAGGAGTTTGGAAAGGGGAGGAAGGAAAAGAAAAGTTGTTGCTTGGCTTTTTGCCGAGGAACGGAAATGATTAATCCCTGCCGGCTCTCTCCAACCCTTCCCCACCCCCCCCCCCACCCCCCCAAAAAAACTACCTCCCCAATCCCCCCCCCCGGGAAATCCAGGCAACTTTTTTTTTTTTGCACGCTTCCAGCCCGAGATGCGCGCAAGGTTTCCAAGTCCTCCCACGCGGCCGAGAGGGGAGGGGGCGGGCGGGTGGAAGCGAGGGCCTGGGCGAGTGGAGCCTCCGAAGCCGGCGCTCCAGCCTGTCGGACTGGTTCGGGAAGGGCAGGAGGAGAAAGAGAAGCAGCCTCGGGAAGGGCAGGAAATGGACGCTCTTGGCATCCGAAGGGCACCGGAGCGCCCTCCTCCCCCTCCTACACTTGCGCCTTTACCTGTAGCATCAAGCAGCCGAGCACACGTCGGGGAAGGGCGAGGAAAAGGGGGTGCCGGAGGGTTTGGAAATCCTAAACCGGGCTGTTTCCCTTCAAGCACCCGTCAGAAATTTGCCCTGGACTTAGTTTAGCTCTTGTGCTCAGGTTGCTTGCTTAATTTGACACGCCCTGGGTCCCAGGAGTCCAGGGTTGGGGAAGGGGCCCTGCCAATGATGGACAGGCCTTTCCCAAAACTGTGTGTTCTCTCGGCTTTGGTGAACAATAGCATCTGTCTTCCTCTTTTTTTGTTTTCTCCTCCCTTCAGTGAATGGGGTATTTAAGCCTTGTGAAAAAAAGAATTGGGGAGTTAATGGGTATCAATTACTCTGCAATAGAAAAAGCTTTTCTGATAGCAGCTTAAGCCTTGGCTTGGCCCTCCCTTTTGTTTTCCCGAAAGTTTCTTCCCACCCAGGTGATTTATTCTTGAGTAGGCCTGCATTTGACTGTACATTTTTATAATGTCCTTGGGAGTGGGGGGGGAGGGGGGTCTTGGTTAAATGGGGCTGATTTCCTGCAACTTGCTTTTAAGTGTTAAGATATCAGCCACACAGGAGGTTTTAGCTGGACAGCAGAAATAGTAACTGGGATGCCCCCCTCCCTTCCTAAAATGTCTCTGCCCCCCTCCCTATTTGAAGACCCCAACCAAATTACAGTCCTCTTTTCCTGGATGGGAAAATGAAGAGCCCTAGTGACTCTTAAAAAAAGTGCTGATCACACAACAGCCTTGGCTGAAATGTGACAAGCTGGGTAGTGGGTGAATGCATTGTGTGAACATAGACAAATGCATAGCCATAACAAACTATGGTTTGAGTAAGCAAGGTTAGCACATTTGTGTTCTGGCAACCAGCGTGTCTTGAGTAATTCCCCTCCAAGGTATATTTTCCATCAAAACGATGAGCCTTTTTCTTGATTAGGAATACATTTTAAGATCACAGCTATTGTATTGGCAGGGGCACGTTTACCCAAGCAAGATAAAGAGATGCCAGATGCATTTGTAGAACATTAGCTGATTAGTTTTTTTATGGTTTTAACATGTGTGAGTGTGAATCTTAACACATGTTTGATCAGTTTGTGGTTCAATGCAAACTCACAGTGAGGATTAGGGTTAAATCGTTAAGCCAGTGTGCTGTGCTTCTGTTTGCATTTACACACTTCAGGATTTCACGGGCTAAGCAGGGCCATTTCTTATTTCTACACTGTTAGGAGTAAGGTCAAGAGGTTTGGTAGAGTTCCTTGCTAAGTAAATTGGGTACAGGGTTGCAACCTTGAATAAATTGGGGAATTCCTTATTGATCCTACATTCACTTTTCTTTAGAGATTACAAGGAGAGAAATCCCCTAGCAAGGGGGATGATGCAAATAGTAATAATAATGATAATGATAATAATAACAATAGAATGGAATTCTTTATTGGCCAAGTGTGATTGGACACACAAGGAATTTTTTTCTTGGTTCAAATGCGGGATGTGAGGGGTCTGTAAATATTTTCACAGCCCTCTTTTTGACTCATGCAGTATACAGGTCCTTGACTGAAAGCAGGTTGGTAGTCATTGTTTTTTTTTTTGCAGTCCTAATTATCCTCTGAAGTCTGTGTCTGTTCTGTTGGGCTGCAGAACCAAACCAGACAGTTATAGAGGTGCAATAATAATAATAATAATAATAATAATAATAATAATAATAATAATAATAATAATAATAATATGGAATCAGACTTAACACAGTTCAAAACTTGTATAGGTACAATCTTTAATATTTAATAATTAAAGGTGCAAGGAGACAGAAGAGCCCTCCAGGATAGAGGCTGGCTGTGTGTGGTAATAGACCAAGCAAAGAAGCAGCCCTGATTTTTTAAAAAAATCCAACAAGCAGATTAGCTCATTTTTGCTGGGCTGCAAATTACATTTTTCTTTGTTTTGACATCTTTAGTGGAATTAAATTAACAAGTCCAAGAACCTTAATTTCAGCATAAAACTAAATATATCTGTGACTGGTTGGCTGAGCTTTACCCCTGGGGGAAATGAGTCCCGGCCTCTTAACAAGACTTATGTGGCTCCAGAGCTTCCTGCCCAATGCCAGGACAGGAAGACTTCAGAGCACTCTGAGGGCAAGATGATAAAACCTAATTTTTTTTGGGAGGGGGGGGGGGAAGGGGAGGAGAGCTATTTTTCCTATCCAAAGAAAATAGAGCAGGGGTTAATTCAAACTTTTTTGGGGGGGAGGAACGTTCTCAAGATTGACATGCAGTCGGGTACAATCTGTGTCTTCTTGGGAACTTCATGACTACCTTAAACCTGACCCCTCTATTGCCCTATAGTTAAATCTGTCAGAAGCCCTAGTTTTCTTCCTCTTGCCTCCATTTTCAGTTTTCCTTTGATTTCCCTCTTTTTTAAACAGGGAAGAAGCTGCATAACTCCCAGCAGCCCAGTATTGAGATGTTATGCTGTTTGTGGTTTTAACATTTAATTTTAACTAATTCAGTAATCAATGATTGGTGACCTGTAGCAGCCTTGAACATATATATGTACAACCTGACTGGTTAGGTACCATGGTGCATGAATTTTTTAAAAAAACTTCTGAATGCTGGTTATCGCTATTAATATTAAGTACATACACACACACTGGAATCTTCCTATAGCTGCATGTCAGAAGCTCTGGCTAATGAGTTAATTAACTTTTCAGTTGCTAAAAGGATGTTTAGTGTTTTATGCAGCAATAAGTGGGCAAAAGGATGGTTGTTATTTAAAGGGACAATTTTTAAAATTCTGTGGTACATTAAGAACCGATATAGCCTTTCTTTTAGAAAAACAACAACTTGGAAGTTGTGGTTATATTTTGGGGGGAGACCATTGAAATAAATGAAATTTGGTCCTTGTGTTTGCAGAAGCAATGGCAAAGTTATATATTGAACTTCTTGAACTCAATGGTACTTTACTCTGATTAATCAAAGTATATGGTTAGATTGCAAGCCAAATATTTCAGGATAATATATGTGCATTTCTGAATAGCTGCCAGCGATTGAATGCAACATATCAGGATCCCAAAAACTCACATCCTCTGTAGCAGTATCTGCTCTCTGGAATAAGATGCTCTGGGTCTCATTCCCTGGAGTGAAATTTGAAGGATTCCCATTCTACTAGGATTTTAAAAAACATTAAAGGCTCCTGGGTTTTTAGAGAGGACAATTGATGTCCCCCTTTTTCTGTCTGTTCTCCTGGGTTTATTTTCTTTGCCATCTTTGTTTGTGCCTTTCTCTTGTTCTGGTTTCACGTATTTTTTGTATTCCATGTTTTTTTAAAAAAATATTTTAACAATTGTAAACCACTGGGAGTTAGGTGGCATCTACATTTAATAAATTTTTAATTTAATAAATTTTAGTGAGCTGCCTAGAATTGTCATATGAAACTCTATAAATCGCTAAATCAAACTTAAAAGCAATGCTGCAAATTCAGGGTTTTTATCATTTATTACAGAGTGTGGTTTGATATTATGTTTGTGTATGAAGTATTATATTTTTTTTCACTTGACTGGCCCCAAAATAGTTGAAATAAAACTTGGTATTTTTTTCATAAAACATTTTATTAGATTATAGAATAAAATACAAGTCAGTATTGATTGGTTTGTAATTTGTTGCATTTAAGATTAAAACAGCAGGTTTTAATTTAATTAATGTCGCATGCAATTATGTCTGCCATATTTGAGTACTGATTCTCATCCCAAGCGGCATTAGGGGGCTATCTTTAAATTGTTTAAATTATTTCTCAGTGAGGCCCTTCAAGCAGAATTCCAGTATATGGCAGTAGTTTGCTGGTCTTCCCCTGGTTCCAGAATTTCACTAACTGGGGTTGCACTTGTTTTTTTCCCCCCTCAGGACCGCCATGATGGAAGCAGCAACGGGAATCCTAGATTGCCTCACCTCTCCGCTGTCAGCCAGCATCTCTACAGTCCAGCTCCCCCTCTTTCCCACTCGGGGAGCTCTGACTTCCAGCCACCTTATTTCCCTCCCCCCTATCAGCCTTTGCCTTACTCCCAGTCCAGTGATCCTTACTCACACCTCGGGGATCCTTTTTCCATCAATCCACTTCATCAGCCGCCACCTCCTCCTCCCAGCCAGCAGCAAACCAGCTGGCCCAACCGTCAGACCAGCCAAGACCATTCTGGTTTATCCCACCATGCCCGTTCTGGCTTGGTGCCTCATCTCCCAGCACTGGAAAGCGGCTCCCTTGGGGCAAGAAGGGAAACCTACAGGCGATCTGAGCTGCTCCTGCCCCACGGCCATGGGCTTGACGCTTCCAGTTTAGCAGAGAACTTAGGACTGCATGACATGACCCACCAGATGGAAGAGGTTCAGGTAACATTTCTGGGGTCGGAATAGAAATGTCACGAATGGGGAGGATGCTACGGCAGCTTTTGCTAATGTGGGGGTCCTTGATGCTCTCTGAGCTTGAGATGATTTCTTGTAGGCGTTTCATTAAACCAAACTAGGTAACATCATCAGTGCTGCTGATGTTAATGTCAACTCATAAAATATTTCTATGGTCTTTTTAGAGTTGCCAACAGAAAGGGGGGGAGGGGTTTGAAAGAACAGTGCAGCAGCTTGAAAATCAAAAGATAGTAACTAGGTGACTGAAGTTTCTGCTGCGCAAATATCTAACTGGAGAACATGATTGATGACTCTTGGCTATGGATGTGTCCCATTGGAGAATATGAATTATGATACACCCAGGGGGTGGGGGGAAAAAACCAGGGTCAAGGGTGACAATGAATGATGTGCCTCAGTCGGCTACACCCAGGCAGGGCTCGACATGTTAACTACCAATAAATCCTTTTGAGGTTTTGGAAGTTTGGCTCGAGACTCATGATTTAATTGGGGGAAAATGCCGGAATCCCGACAGTTATCTAGTTTGGGTAATGAAACGTCTGCAAGAAAAGAACCAAGCTCAGAGAGCACTTCTTTTCAACGCTGAGCTACAAATATTCTCTTTTATCAGCTTTTGCTAACTAATAGCTCAGGCAATCTTGGGCTATCTTATTAAAGAAAAGCTTTGCAGAGAGTCCTCGAATTCCAACCATTCATTTGGTGACCGTTTGAAATTATAACGGCACTGACAAAAAGTGAGTCGTGCCCGGGTTTTCACACTTACGACATCTGCAGCCTCCCCCATGGTCATGTGATCAGCTTGGGTGCTTTTAGATGCTTGGCAACCGGTTCATGTTTATGACTGTTCCTGGGGTCCTGGGATCACCTTTTGTTCTGACAACCAAAAAACCCAGATTCATTTAACAACCAAGCTACCAATTTTAACAACTGCCTTGATTCTTAACCGTGGCAAGAAAGATTGTGAAATGGAGGGAAAAGTCACTTAACCTGTCTCACTGAGCCACAGAAATTTGGGGCTCAACTGTAATTGTAAGTCAAGAACTACTTGTATTGGGAGAAGTTGAAATTCCCAGTTCTGGATAAAGCTTGCTCTTTCAACAAAAGGAGAACCTTGGAGTCGCTAGATTTGACCATTATACCCTCAACTTTTAGAAAATAGATGCTGATGGGTTTTTTTTTTTTTTTTACTTAGTTGTTTAGCACTTAGATTAAAATCATTTTCAGGTTCATCCACTAATTTTGCCTTCACGGTGATGATCTAGAGTGAATAGATTAATAGATCTAAAGTGTATACAGTCAGTGCAATAACATTAATGCTAAAATAAAGGGCAGGGTAGAACGGCACAAAGGATGTGCTCAAGAGAATTTCATGCTCCTAAAATGATTCCTGCGTGTTGTGCAAGGAAGTATGGAAGGCGTTACAAGCTTTTGCTGTTTGCTGAGAAAACGCCCTTAGAGGGATGTCGCTGGTAGAATGGACGGTTTTGTTCAGCCAGGCATGCTTTATTTTCTTTTACATTTATGAAAATCTGAAAATGAGAAGCCCGGTACGGGTGAATCGAGTTTGAAACCGATCATTCCTTCACCCTGAAATGTGTATCACTCGGGCATGAAAGAGGCATTGCACAAACACAGAGGTGTGAGAATCTGTCTTCCCACCATTGCTTCATAACTTGTGCAATCCTATTATGGAACAATCCTACACAAATGAGACAGCTACCTCTGCTTCATCATTCCAAGGAAGGCAGCTTGATTGGCTAACATTGTTTTCTCCAAGCTGATGTTCTCCAGCTGTTCTCAATCGGTCCTCAGCCAATGAGGGCCAATAGCATTCCATATTTGCAAGCCACCAGGCAGGTGTTTGGGAAAGCAATAGCAACGGGCATTTTATTATTATTATTTTCCATTTGCATCTTGCCTTCATGGTCAACCAAAGTGGTTCATTTCATTTGCACAGAAATCCTCCATGCCAGAAGGGAAATTAGCTAGGTGAGTCCATTTACAGGTAGTCGTCAAATTTGGGCCCTAATTGAGCCCAAAATTTTATGTTGCTAAGTGAGAAATTTGTTCAGTGAGTTTTGCCCCATTTTACGACTTTTCTTGCCACATTTGTTAAGTGAATCATTGCAATTCTCAAATTAGTAACACGGTTGTTAAGTGAACCCAAGTTTTCTCATTGACTTTGTATATCAGAAGTTTGGAAAAAGTGATCCCATGACTCCAGGACACTGCAACCGTCATAAATATAAGTCAGCTGTCAAACATGTAAATCACACGACCATTGGGGATGCTGCAACCATCCTAAGTATGAAAAAAATGCTCAAAAGTCATTTTTTTCAGTGCCGTTGTAACTTTGATAACTGTGTGAACTGTTGTAAGTTGAGGATTACCTGTATTCAGGCTTGGCTCCAAAATAAAACTGCCTCACGGACTGCAATCGGTGGGATAGAAGGCCTGCATTGTTAACAAGGTGTTCTCTTGGACATTGAAGCTGACCCTGAAGCAGCTCAATAATCCAAGAACGACGTTCTGTAGTCTTACAGTAGTTTTCTGGCTTGCTCTCAAAATTGTTGGTCTTTCATTGTCATGGTTAAGGCTATTTTTTTTGTGTCCCTGTGAGTCAGGTTTTGACTCCTGATGACTGCATAGGCAAGTCCCTGCATAGATAGGCAACAAGGTTTTTCACAAGGGGTTTGTTGTTGTCTTCTTCCTAAGCCTGAGAGAAAATGAGAGGCTCAAAGTCCGCCCAGCTGGCTTAGGGCCTAAGGCAAGATTGGAACTCACAGTCTCCCAATTTCAAGCCGGGTGCCTTAACCTCTACACCAAACTAGCTCAGGTTATCTAGAATAATTCTCTGAAAATAAATACTCCACTTACAACAGCGACCGTTTGAAGTTACCAGTACAGTGACACTGAAAAAGTTACTTATGACTGTTTTTCACAGTGAATGACTATTGTGGCATCCCCGTGGTTTTATCAACATTCAGGGACTTGACAACCTGCTCATATTTATGATGGTTGCAATGTCCTGGTGTAGATCCCCCTTTGTACGACCTTCTGAGATGCAAAGTCGGTGGGGGAAGCCAGATTCATTTAACAACTGTGTTACTGACTTAAAACAACTGCATTCACTTAACAAATGTGGCAGGAAAGGTAATAAAAATGTAATTAATAGGTGTCTCACTTAGCAATTTGGGGCTCAGTTGTGGTTATAAATTGAGGACTACCTGTAGACCAGAGACAAGGCCCAACTGCTTAGATGTTGGTGCAGCATCCACAGTGCTCAGCCTCCGTGATTAATTTTGCCATTAGATGTGATCCCTTCCCTTGTCATTTGTAAATCATTGTTTGTGTTGGGCATGTATTCATTCCCACATCACAGCTGGTCTCAATCATATGATAACTCAGGGGTCCCCAAACATGGCAACTTTAAGATTTGTGGACCTCAACTCTTTAAGACTTGAAGTCCACAAGTCTTAAAGTTGCCAAGTTTGGGGATTTCTGCGATAGCTTAACACGATGATACGAATCATTTTTCCTGAACTATTTTAAGGTTAGCTCAAAAATGGTTCTGAGTTATGATCATTGCCCTTTGGCAAAGGAGAATCACAGATTCTGTTGTTTGTCTGCACCAACATCCTAAATGCCTCAGTCATGAAAAAAAAACTTTCCTCACTTGTTTAACTGGGGATTTAAGTATGATCCACGAACTCTTCCCTTTTGAAGTCAGTCGATCATAATTCTAACTATGCACGGGAACGAAGGCAGCATGTTTACTGAACAGCGAAGTTGCTGACTTGCTTCCTGGAGTAACCTGACAGGCACTGGAGCTTCTTGGATATATCCTGCTGGTCTTGATGCAATTTCAAAAAAAAGATAACTTTTGTTGGTTTGGGTTGGCCTGTTTTAGATGTCCATTAAAAGCTTTACTATAAAGTATTGTGGCTTTTGCTAAAACCAACTAGGGGACTATGTTAATGAGATATGTTTGTACATTGGGTGGGGAAGCGGGGAACAAATTGTGTTTCCATTGCTGTATTGTTAAAAAAAAAATCACATTCTCTCTCCAGAATGTGGAAGATCAGCACTTATTAATGCATGACCAGACCGTCATAAGAAAAGGTCAGTAAGTTTACATGCTGCTGGTTTGTTTTCTTTTGTCTTTTATAGGATGGTATTTTCACTCGTAAACTTTTTTAGGAGTTTCAGATTTGCCTTTATGTTCCTTTTTGAAAAGAGACTTTGTTTAAAACAACAACAAACTCAAGTGTAAAAAAATAAGATATTCCCCCCCAAGGCTATCAGATTCTTTATATGAGTTGTTTTATTTACATACATACATACATACATACATACATACATACATATATACATACATACATACTTACATACATGGTATTCAGCTTTGTTTGGGTATTTTCCCACGTTGTTATAGTTGTGCTTTTAAAGTTGTAGCGACGTTTCGGCAGAATCTCATCTGCCATCATCAGGCTTCTGTATAGTGTTCGTCCGACGAACCCAATACAGAAGCCTGATGATGGCAGATGAGATTCTGCCGAAACGTCGCTACAACTTTAAAAGCACAACTATAACGACGTGGGAAAATACCCAAACAAAGCTGAATACCATACATATAAATACCCACGAAAACTTAAGAGAAAACACACACACACACACACACACACACACACACACACACACACGGATATATTATTTTCTGGGGAAAAACAGGCTGTGGATATGATCAACCTAAATATTTATTTATAAACAAATATTTTACAAATCTATATTTTTTAAAAAAAGTATCTGTATTCTGGATCTTGGCTTAATACAATGGATTTCAAAAGGGTTAGGTTTTCTTCTGGAAACCTTATAGCAATTCCTTGGATGTTATGTTCTGGGTTACAATACATAATGTGCAAATTTTTGAAGATGGAGTTCCGTTTGTTAAAATTTGTTGTTTTTGTTATTATCCATTCATTGGTAGTTGTAGATGACTTGGAAGGAAAAATAAAATCCTTCATCTAAGGAGTTGGGGGAGAAAGGAAAGCTCTCAAGGATAATATAAATATTTGTTTGAGGATAATGATCTCTCTCTGCATTGTTGTTGCTTGTGTTTAACATGAGCAAATCAACAAAGAAATATTCCTCCTGCAACCAACACTTTGGCCACAGCTTCAGCATTTATTTTTAGTCGGTTTCTGTTCAATATATAAAAAATAGAAGAACAGCCCCTTTTAAAAAGAGGGGGTCTCTTTTTTTGGTTAGATATGTGGTAGCCTTCCTTCTGTGCACAGCAGCCATTATATGTGCTTATCCGTGAACAACCTCTAATTTAATGTGAGTTTAGGGGTGGTTACCAGGTTACAGAAGTCTGTTGTATATCCACATCACAAGCTTCTACTAGCGATATTTATAAGATTGAGGTGCAGATCCATGCTGGAGAAACTGCACAAACATTTCCCTTTTTGTTGTTGCACAGTACACACACACACACACGCGCGCAAAAGTTTTTAGAATAAATATTTAAATCAAAGGACAATTTTTTCTGTAACTTGAAAGTGACAAAAGGGAAAATGTGCCTGAGAAGAAACCATAAATATTTTGTTGTCAGCTCATAGCTGATTTGAGAATTAGCTCATAGTAGAACAATTTTTTCGACTGTCTGTTTCACCTGCTTTTCAAAATCTTCCTCCTTTGATAAATAAAGTTCCTGGCTTAGTATTTTAACCCTTTCTTCTCCTGCCTGCTCCAACTCAAAATATTCCTGGGGAAGAGGTCAGGTTTCAGTTGTCAGAATGTAACTGCCAGTTAAGCATACTTTAATACAAATACACATCTGCTGGCTTGGGTTTTCTGTGTTTTAATTTTCATAGACTCCAAGAACTATCAGTCAAGAAAAAAGCATTCATTTCTTAAAAGGAATGAACTTGAGAACATTTTTATTTTTATTATTATTACCAAATTTATTGGCTGCCCATCTTGCAGTTCTGCAATATGCAAAATATGAAAACAATTTCATCATAGAATTGTTAGCTTAGCAAAAGTTATAGTCTTGTTTGCATTTTTTCCATGGCTTATGAATTTCAGAGCAAAATGAAGAGCTTACTTTAAATTTTTCTTGGCTGGATTATAGACTATTGTTCTTAATTGCTAGAATAGATTGGGCATAATTGGGAAAGGCACTTAAGCAATATAGTCCTAATACTTTGTTAAATAATAAAAGAACAATCTTTTCATATAACTGCTTCAGGTGTTTTCAAGTAATGGATCCTTGCTTGCCCTTTTCACATTAGGCTAGCAATGCTCTTTAATTGTTTAGAAAAAAAATTGGATTCATTATGGAAGACAACCTTCTTCAATCTGGTACCTAGAAGTCTTCAGATACCATAACCCCTAGTTATCAGACACAGAATAGCTGGGGATTATGGTAATTAAAGTTCCAATTTTCCAGGACATCAAGTCGTGGGAGGCATAAATAACCTCAGGGATTCTTACGTTAAAAGATTTAGACTTCCAAGAAGAGAAGAAGAAAAAAGATGGGAGAGAAACACTCCATCGTAGTTTGTTTGTTTTTGTATATTTTGGCTCTCCAGGTCCCATTTCACTAACGAAAAACAATGCATTAGGTCTCCCTTGCCAGAAGGATGGACTTCTGGGTGTAGTGATCAATCCCAACGAAGTGTTCTGCTCTGTTCCTGGCCGGCTCTCTCTCCTCAGTTCAACATCGAAATACAAAGTGACGGTGGCTGAGGTCCAGCGAAGATTGTCTCCTCCAGAATGCCTGAATGCATCTCTGCTGGGAGGAGTCCTCCGAAGGTAAGCCCCATCGTTCCTCTGCCCTTTCTTCCTTTCCCTTCCCTTCCCCTCCTGGCTGAAGCTGTGTCCTATCAAGGGAGCTTCCTTGGTGTCCTGCGAAGCTGAATGGCCTGTGAACAGAATAGCTTCTTGTCTCTTTCTGGTTGTGAATCTTGCAAACAGGAGATAAAACGCTGCATCCTAATAGAGTTTATTTTGAAGCCTTTGCCTTCACACTCTTCCCCCCCACCCCTCCTTGGCACCCTTTTGCTTTTGCAGAATTGAAAAGTGCCATAACAGGATTCATTGTGCATTTTCTTTTCCTGTTAAACAGACTCTCTCTACCTCCGCATTGCAAAAAAAGAAATAATTGAATAAGGAAGTCAGGTCTTCTGCCAGTTTACCCACTGCAGTCTAATGTTAAAAGGTGGTGAAGAAAAATACATGGATTATTTTAAAACAACACCCTTTCCAAATTGTATAAGATATTGATTGAGAAAAAACAGCCAAGTCCGATTTATTCTTGGGTGTCTTGAGGTTCAGAAAGGGACAGGTGGAGCTCTTCTAACCCTGATGATGTTTATTGCCTGTCTGCATGTTGAAGGTTTGCTGAAAGCAGAATTGTTGGGGAGTCAGATTTAAAAGCTAATCTGCTGTAATTTTGAAGGACAAAGTAAAGTTGTCCTTTAGTCAAATGTAAATCGTGAGATTTTACTTGGCCATGCCCATGTTATTTTTTTCTGCAACAGTGTGGAAGTAATTGACTGTCACTTGTAGGAGAAGAGCAGGCAGAGTTGGGGCTGGTGGTGTTAAACATATCATCAGTTTAGAGTCTTTGAGTTGCCACAAGAGATTCAAGTACAGCCCACTTGAATTCCATTGACCCTTGTATAGTGCCAATTTAGTATTGAACTTTAGTTGACCAGATTCTTGTGTATAGGCTTAAATAAATCTTGTATGCTGCAACCTTACGAATAGTCCTGATTTTATCACTTAACTTCTATCTAGTTTACAGCACTGATATATGCTAGTGGTATCCTGTCCAAACACTGACCATAACTGATCCTTTTTAGCTAGGGAAAGTCTTAAGTAAGCATCTCTTTTAATGGTATTTAATGCAGATTAATAGAATGTAAAAAAAAATTTTTTTGTCTTGGAATGCAATTTGTCAGCATGTTACTCAAAACCCAGTATTTAGTCTTGAGCTGAAAGCCACATGCTTTATATTAATTTATGGATGCTTATTAATAGGCTTTATCCAAATGAAGAAATGCATCCCCACAAGAGAGAATACAAATTGAACTCATAGTTGTACCTCCTAATAAATATATACGGAAACAAATGTTGGAATTACCACAATATGAATGCAGACCATCTCGTCTTAGCAAGGAAGAACGTCCTAGATTTAAGTTATGCAGATTTCACTCCGTTACCTGGGTCTTCACAGCTTTTGATAGGCAATTTCAGCTCTTTTCTTTTTTTTAAATTCTGTGTGGAAACTGAACTCAGATTGGATGATGTTTCATCAAGATTATGAACTATGACCCACCAGTTCTTGAACCCAAAAGCTTGTTGTGCTTGTAGAAGGATTCATATCCACTTTACCTTTTGAAATACTGTATAATGTTCATATTAAGCAGTTCTGTTCAGCAGTTCATCAGAATTATTTAACTATGCTTTAGAACAGCATTTCTCAGCCTAACGAACTTTAAGATGGGTGGACTTCCAGCTTCCAGAATTCCTAGCCAGCATGCTTAAGTTCCTGAGGTTGAGAAACACTGCTTTGGAGAATTGCTAACATATAGCTTAATTTTCAGGAATTGGGGAATGTGGCCAATTCCTTCCTCAAATGCCATCCGTAGTGGTGGAAGTACAGTGGACTTTACACGTCCGAGATTTTTAAAAAAATTAAGGCTGCATTTAATATCTGTGTACGGGTACTGCCACAACAAAAGTTTGTTTGTTGATGCTCAGTGTGTTTGTAAAAGGTTTTAATTTTCACTATGTCGGTCATCCTGATTGTAATGATGCTTGATAGTGTAAACGCAGAGGCAAAGCGTATCCTTCTCTTCCTCCCCCTTCCTTCCTTTTTCATCTTGTTTTCTGATGTTCATGTGATGGAACATTCAAAAGTAGGTCAGCTCTTGTTTTGGTCACAGTCCTCCCTTCCCTCCCTCCACCTCTTCCCTCCCTCCATCAGTAGAAAGAGTATTGAATGTCAGCAACTTGCATTTCCCAATTGCTTCAAAATGTGACCTCTTCAACGAATCCATCTAAACACCCTCTCCATCCCTGTCTCTCTCCTCCGCAGAGCCAAATCTAAAAACGGGGGCCGCTCACTAAGGGAGAAGCTGGACAAAATTGGCTTGAATCTTCCTGCAGGCAGAAGGAAAGCTGCAAATGTGACATTACTTACATCGTTGGTAGAAGGTCAGTTGGTCTTCTCTCTATAAAGCCATTTCTGGGTTAAAGGGCAAGGCGAGCGATTTGTGTTCACCGATCAAAGCTGTCTTCCCGAAAAGGACGGTCTTCAGATATATGGATGCAGGACTCAAAATAATGGTCTTGGTTCCAATTGAAGGAGAAGAAAGTGTCCTAGTGGTAAGAGCTGTTCCTCTCTGGATCCATGAGAGGTGATGGATTTACTCAGGGATGTGTAAAAGTAGAGTTTGGGCAGATTGAAGATGCTTCAGTTTATAGTTCTGCCTGACTTGAAAGCTAGCCTGAACTAGGAATTTCAATTCTCCCAGTACAAGTAGTCAGAATCAGAATGGAGGTGGAAGGGACCTTGGAGGTCTTCTAGTCTAACCCCCTGCTGAAGCAGGAAATCCTATATCATTTCAGACAAGAGACTGTCCAGTCTCTTCTTAAAAATCTCCAGTAATGGAGCACCCACAACTTCTGAATGCAAGCTGTTCTACTGGATATTGTCCTCGCTTTTGGGAAATTTCTCCCTAGTTCTAGGCTGCTTCTCTCCTTGATTAGTTTCCAGCAATTGTTTCTTGTCCTGCCTTCTGGTGCTTTGGAAAATAAATTGACCCACTCCTCTCTGTGGCAGCTCCTCAAATATTGGAAGACTGCTATCATGTGTGTTTCCACACCCCCACCCCCAAGTCCTCCTTTTCTCTAGACTAGCCAAACCCAAATCCTGCTACTGTTCTTCATATGTTTTAGTCCCCGTATGTTTTAGTTCTTCATGTTTTAGTCCTTGAATTAAAACTGCAATTGAGCCCCAAATTTCTGTTGTTAAGCAAGACAGCTGTTATGTGAGTTTTGGCCTATTTTATTACCTTTCTTGCCACAGTTGTTAAATAAATCACGGTAGTTGTTAAGTTAGTAACAGAGTTGTTGAGTGAATCTGGCTTCCCCCGTTGAATTTGCTTGTCAGAAGGTCACTAAGGTCGCTTGTCACAAGACCCCAGGACACTGCAACCGTCATAAATATGAACCATTTGCTGAGTGTCTGAATTTTGATCATGGGACCATGGGGATTGCTGTGGAAAACGGCCGTAAGTCCCTTTTTCAGTGCAGTTGTAACTTTGGTCACTAAATGAATGATTGTAAGTCGAGGATACTACCTGTAAGAAGTTGGACTTGAAGGATCTAAATGGCACAATTCTGTTCCCCCGGCAGCCCCAATTTTCATTCCAAAATGCTTTTTGCAGATAAAACATGTTTCCCCTGCAGAGCTGCAAGTGAAGATGTTAGTACTCATACCAGAAGTGGGGAGGGAGGAATGAAGGATATGTTAGGGCATAACCTTGGAGGATAAACATCCTTGTCATGGATGGTATGTTTGTGTTAAAAAAAAAGTTTTGGATTGGGAGATTTTATAGACATTGTAAAATTGGCATTTAATTTACTGCCAAAGCAGTAAAAAATGATTGTCTATTTTTTTTTAAAAAGTGCATAATAATTGTAGATTAATGGTGAAATTTGTTCATCGAAGACTCAGAGATGTCACACTTCAGAGGTGATCAGAAGCTTTGAATATCTCTCTTCTCCTTCCCAGGTATAATTGGAGCCAACGCTACCAGTTATTTTCCCCCCATGTTTGTCAGAGCTGATTCCAGTTAAATAACTGGTTTGTTCGTTTGTTTCATTATGGGCAGATGAGGACATATATTTTATGCAGAAATGGCTGATTTAGAAGAATTGGATTGTCCGTTGCATGAATCTAAAGACTTTCGTAGAATAGAATAGAGTTTTTTATTGGCCAAGCGTGATTGGACACACAAGGAACTTGTCTTTGGTGCACATGCTCTCAGTGTACAAAAAGAAAAAATAACATATTCATCACGACTCATAAGACACAACACTTAGTGATAGTCTATTAATAAGCAATCAAATCATACTAGGAAACAATAAAAACAATATAAATTGTAAAGATAGAAGCAACATGGATATAGTCATAAGTGGGAAGAGATAGGTACTAGTAAGGTTGAGAAGAATAGTAATACAGTCTTAGTAGTTAATTTGACAGTGTTGTGTGAATTAGTTGTTTAGCAGAATGATGGCATTCTTTGATAATGATGTTTCTTGGAATACTTTAAGCTGTGTGCTAACAAGCAGCTTCAATTCTTGCTACATTGCCTGATTTCTTAAAAGAATTCCTTATAAAGTTGCACTGAGTAAAGCAGAGCTAAAAACAACCTATAAAAAGCTGAGAAGAACGATTGGCAAGGACTGATAAGGGTTCAAAGCAATCATGAACAGAGAAGAGCCTAAACCAGAGATTTTTGGATTGCTAAATCAGAAAGATAAATTGCAACAATGTATGTTTTGTCTGTGGGATTCTAAAACTACCCTTTAAAACAAAAACTTTTATATATTCATATATTGAAACAAAGACATTTATATATTCTAAACAAACTATAGACATGTGACCAAAAATATATAAATATTGTAAGCCACCTAGAGCCTATTTGAAGTTAGGTGGCCTTTAAATCCATTAAATTAGATTAACTTAAATTTAGAAATATTTATCATGCAATGAGCTCCTTGTACAAGGAATTAGGGCTGATACATCTCCTTTCATATACCAAATCTGTAGCAGGGAAATTTGTTGTGTTTAATAGGAGCAAGGTCTTCTGCTGGACTGTGTTTTCTGTTTTTTGGTGGTGGTTGTTGTTTTTAACTCTGCCATACTCGGGGCTCCCATACAACCTAAAACAATGAACTAAATAGTCATATGAATACAAGTAACAGAGCCAATAATCAGGTAACAAATTGTTAATAAGAAAAGTTTCAATCAAGGAAGACCTATTTCTACCATGGAATAAAATCAAGTCTTTGAGTCAAGCTTGACTCCTCATGACATTATGGATACTACCACACAATTTCCTTGGCAGTAGTCGATAAGAGGGTTACTATTGCATTCTGGGAATCTAGGGTCTAGCCTAGAGCTTAGGCCTTCCCAAAAGTCTTCCCTCAAATATGAACCAAGCTGAGGCTTGCTTAGCTTGACAAAAGAATACAGTCATTCCTAAAGTCAATGTTTTCAGAACTGCACTGATGAAGAAGAAGGTTTTTTCTCTGCTGTTGCAGAAAGTGGAGCAAAAACCAGTTAGGAGAGGGAGCAGATTTCAGTTAAACTCTTAGGAGAAACCCTCAAACTATAGGATCAGTTTGCTGCAAAAAAGAGTTTTGAGAATGATATCTTCCTTGGCTTAAAAGAGTTTTGAGAATGGTGTCTTCCTTGGCTTAAGGTACTTCTGGCTAGTTGGTTGTTAGGGATACTTGCACAGCAAATGAGTTGAATGAGATGACCTGTAAGATCCCTTCTAATGTTGTTTCATTTTGGTGGGTGATGGAAGATAGAGAGATGCTGTAACCAAAAACAAAGGTAGAGAACCTTTAAATGCAAAACAATATTTAATGATAATTATGTCTTGTTTAGAAACAGGATGTATTTTCTAAGTCTGTTGAAGCCCAGCAGCAAAATGTGATGAGTTTTTTGTTTCAAATCTTCAACTCGCAACTGTTCCTGTAATTCCTGTATGGTAGTTGGAAATTTGGAGTGAAAGGTTAAATTAGTGCAAGACCTATCTCTGTTGAAGTGAAGTATATAACTTGATGTGAAATTTGTCTCTAATACTTGCCCATGCTGTTTGATTCACACGTCAATAGGCAACCTTTGCTACTGCAATCAAAGACAAATTCACATGGGCAAACCAGTTGTTTCCAAGGAAGTACATGCATGTTTATAGTCAGAATACTTGCATTCTACAGCTTTTGCTGAACTGCATTATCAAATGGGCTGGCTGGATGAAATATATATAGATCCATTAAAAGTGAACAGTTGCCTTCCTAAGTATATTGACGCAAATGTCCTCTAATTTTGGATGACTGTATTTTGGCTTAAACTGCAGACATTGTGAGAGGTGATACATTCAGGAGCAGTCAGTGGAAATTCATTTGCTGCTTCGCTTATAAATATCCTGGTTGCTTGGAACTTGTGTTAATTCATGCTAATTATTACCACAGAAATATTTTTGCAATTGCTTCACATTTTTGCAAAAACATACTGGAGCAAATGACAATTAAAGAATGAGAATTATTTGTATGGTGGGACTCAAGGTGACCTACTTTAAGATAGACTATTATCCTATAAAGGATCTTGACCCTTAATTATAATAAATGTGCAATATTGCCTATTGCTTTAAATCAACCTTCCCCCACCTGTTCTCTTCCAGATGCCTGGGACTAATTTTCCTAATGCTCGAATAGCATAGTTCTCAGTTTTGCTAACTGGCTGTTCTGTGTGCAGCAGAGTGCAGTATACATCATAAAGCCGTTATTGTGGGGAAGTTAGTTTCTTTGCAACTATTAGATACCCAGAGAAAAGCTTAGCATCATAATATTACTCATCAATTAAAGGAGCTTTCTTAGGTAGCCTCACCCCCTTTTAAAAACTGAACTCAAATGGTGTTTTTATAAAATATAATGTGATGACCCAGGGTGGTATACAAAACAAACACAGTCACAGAAAACAGGTGCCCCTTTTATTCCTTTACTTTGTTTCCAAGCTCCGAATATCCTTGACGGAAGACAAAAAACTCCCACATAAACAGTTATAAGGAGCAGGAAAAAAGCAACACAAACCAGGCAAGATAAGGGCCGGAGGACATCCACAGATAACAGAACACACACTGGGAAGGATGCCAAACTCGAGAAGAACCATAAACTAGAGATATTTCCATGCTTTGTTTCCAGTGTTCGGCCATACGCATGTCCGTCCTCTTATCCAGTTGTCACAGCTGCAGCCCATGAAGAGGATCAAGGCCCTCTCCTCCCCTATAGACCACGTCTCTCCCTTATCCTCTACTCCCTGCCTGCCCTAGGATGGCTAGGGGATGGTTCTGGGTCCTCCTCTGACTGCTCAGCTGGCCTCTGCCCTTCCCCAGCCTCCTCCACAACCTCCAGAGCCACACTTCCACTCCCTGTCGGCTGTTCCTCCTCTCCCTCAGAGTCAGTCTCCACCAGGGGCATGATATATAAGCCGGGGAGAAAAATAAATTTTGCTAAACATATGGGTTGGTTATGTCAGTGGCAAATATAGTTCATCTGTTTGTCTGCAAACAGTTATTTAAGTGGGTATGATCTAATAAGCAAATTCTTGCTTTTTCCCCCTCTTCTTTTTCCTTTCTGTGGTCCATTTGTAGGGGAAGCTGTACATCTTGCCCGCGATTTTGGCTATGTGTGTGAAACTGAATTCCCTTCAAAAGCTGTGGCGGAATATTTAACTCGGCCCCATCTGGGCCGGAATGAGATGGCCAGCAGGAAAAATATGCTTCTGGCCGCAAAGTAAGTTATCTTTATTTGAGTGAAAACCAATATGTAAGATTTATAGAATATATTAAAACGTTTAAGCAGTGTTTCCTCCGTACAGGAAATCCTCAATTTACAACCACAATTGGATTGTAAATTTTCCATTTCTAAACAAGCCAATTGCTAAGTGAGTCATGCTCAATTTTACAATTTCTTTTGCCATGGTCTTTAAGTGAATAATGCAGTTATTAAGTGAATCATGCAGTTAAGTGAATCCATATTTCACCTTGGCTTTGCTTGTCAGAAGCCAGCTGGGAAGGTCACAAATGGAAGGTCACACATGATTCGAGGATGCTGCAACCAATGTAAATGCATTCTGGTTGCAAGCTCCCAAATTTTGATCACATGACTGTGGGGATGCTGTAGTCATCCTAAGTGTTGAGGACTAAGTTACTTTGTTCAGTGTGGTTGTAACTTTGAAAGGTCACTAAATGAATGGTTGTAAATTGAGGACTACCTATAATCCCCACAACAGGGACAGACAAAAAATGAACCTTAATTAATTCCAATGGGAATGGTTTGATTTTTGCAAGTTTGTAAGCTAGTTTAAGCTCTAGGTCAAAGGGCAGTTTGATATCTGTAGATGCCTCCACTTCAGCCATTGGCCTCCACCTGTCCCAGGTTTGCTTTTTCTATAACTTTGCAAACCACAGATGGGAAAATTCTGCTACCACTCCCCTTGAATTGCTTAAATACAGTAAATCTAGACAGAAGTTCAAGCTGAAAGCAACTAAACTGTGTTTAGTTCTAAAATTCTACTGGAACTACACCTGTGATTCTAAAACAAAGACTGTTAAAAAAGGAACTCGGTGAATGTGTATTGAGGAGAAAATTAATATCCTGGTCAACTAAATTGCTAGTCTTTAAGATTACAAATTGTTTCTCTCATTGCTGCTATTAAACCTATATAGCTTGCTCATGTGCTTATGATCTTAATTCAAGATACCTGTTCTTATTCTCCTGCCATGGGCCTTATTCATTTAAATAATCTTTCCGTAGCCTGTAATTGATGAAGCTGAAGCAAATAGTGAGTGGGAACATCCATTCCCTTTATTATTCTTTAATCTCTTGTTTCTAACACTCCCCATCTCTATCTTCTCTATCTCTATCTTGGAATAGAAAGCTGGAAGGAGGGAACTAATATATTCTACCAAGGCCTGAACTAATTTAATGTAGAGGAGTTTTGAAATTAAGCACAAGTATAAAAGCTAGTTCAGGTTGCCCATATTAATTGTTGTTGACTGGAGTCAAGCCTAAGCTACAAATGATTATCTCCTGTCAGAATCCTTGTTGAGCTAGATAATCCAGGGGTGTCGAACTCGATTTCATTGAGGGCCACATCAGGGTTGTGTTTGACCTGGGGGTGTGTGGCCATGGCCAGCATGATGTCACTTGTGTTGGGGTGTGTGTGCCTGTGGTGGCCCAAGCGCTCTGCCAGCGAAAACAGCTCCCGAATTCCGTTTTCAGTTGCAATGTCCTCCTGAAACACTCTGCCATTGAAAATGGAGCTTGGGAGGGGGGCATGCACAGCTGTTGCCCACAACAATCTGGGTCCTCATTTATTGACCTCGGAAGGATGGAAAGCTGAGTCAACCTTGAGCCTGGTGAGAGTTGAACTGCCAAATTGCAGTCAGCAGAAGTAGCCTGCAGTACTGCACTCTAGCCACTGTGCCACCCTGGCTGCAACATCGTGCAGTGTTAAAAAAAAACCTAATTTGCTTTCCTATTGCCTCTTCCAGACAGATCTGTAAAGAATTCACAGAGCTTCTCACTCAGGATCGAACCCCGCTTGGCAACGCGAGGCCAAGTCCCATCTTAGATCCTGGCATCCAGGGATGTTTGACTCACTTCAGCCTGATCACACATGGATTTGGGAGTGCTGCCATCTGCGCCGCGATGACATCGGTGCAGAACTACCTGAACGAAGCTCTCAAGCTAGCAGACAAATCATACATGAATGCAGGAGATCAAAGTCCCCCAGATGGCAATAAGAACCTTGAGAAGATGGACAAGCACAGGAAGTGAGCATGGAAAAGATGACAAAGACACAGAGACCCACACAGAGAAAATAGACTTTAAAAAACTGTTACTGCACACAGACTTAAAGATCTTCTTGCCTAGAAGGCATGTAGATATTTCTTAGACCTTGCTTCGGGGCATCTTTTTCTCCTTTTTTTTTTTTTTTTTTAAATTTTCAACCACATCCTTTTCTGGAGACGTGTGTTGTCTCTTTTCTCCTCTTTTAAAGCTGCTGTTATCCATTCATTTGGGACCATGTACCTGAAGGTAAACATGGATTTATCTTTTTATTATTATTTTTTAAAAAAATTTAAATTGTGTAAAAGGTGGTGCTATCTCTTTTATTTTTTCCTCGTATGGAAATTTGTTACACGCTGTACCTGGACACTTTTGCAGGCAATGTTTTTCCTCCAATATATTTATGTGTGGTGGAATCTCAGTGAAATTTCAGCAATAAACCAGTTTCAGCACATGCTCACAAGTTTTCCCTCTGTGGGAAAAAAGAAGAGACCGCATCTTCTTTCTGTTCAAACAAAATCCAAGGTTTGTTGTTGCATCTGAAAAATAGCGAGCTGCAGTTTGCGGAACTACCCTAAGCTGCCATTTGATTCTCCTAGTTTTTGACTAGCCAAGATTTTGTAACCTCTTCAGATGCATCAATAAGCTATAATTAAAACAGGAAGCAGATGTTTCGGTATTCATTGCCACTGCCAAAGGACCAGATTTCTATGTGTGTTAAAGAGACAGAGATGGAAAAGGGAGAGGAAAGTACATTGGCTGGACCAAGTTAGTTTTAAAATTATAGTTAAACTTTTTATCAGTCAGGCTGTGTAAGAGAGGTCATGCCCATATCTTGTAGAACAGGACCAGCATGATTGTGTAGTAGTTTTTAAGTAAGTTAAGTTTTGAGAAACTAATTAAGAGGGATAATTAAAAAGTTTGAGCGTGCTGTGAGATTCAGGCAAAGGCCTGATCACGTTCTAAGTTGCCTCAGTTGATGCTCAGACATTCAGAGCTATCTAGATTATTCATGAAGAATTTCCACCACACCCCAAAAAGCAAATACCGTATCCGGTCACTAAATCAGGTGGATTTCAATGGTCTCAGTTGCTGAAATCTTGTGACATTAATTCTTGTAGCATCATAACCTTAGTATTGTGTTCATTTTTGCATCTGCAGCATCATGTGATATCTCTTGAAAAATCACCCAAAGAATTCATTTTAAATGTGCATCCATGTTGTAGTATGGAAGTTAGACTGGGTTCCTATTACTTCATTGAAAACCAACAGGTAAAAAGAACATAGTGCAGTATTAGCCCCTGTTTTTCTGAGTTTTCGACAAAATACTGAGATTCCTGGTTTTAATTAGAGAAAAAAGCAATAAAATGAAACAATGTGATAGTTTTGAACATGCTTGCCTTTTATTTTATTTTTAAAAAGTTCTGATTTCTAGGCATAATTTAAGAAACACATATTTTAATATAATGGGGTTGCAGATTTTTTTTAAAAAGTTGCAAGACTGAAATGTTCTGTAGCAGATCTTTTGTATTCAAGGAAGAATTACTTTGAGCTAATATTAAAACCTTAATTTTTCATCCACTTTAAAAATATGAAAAAGAGATACTGCAGCTTTATGTGCATCATCATCAGGTCATTTTTTTTAAATTAAAAAAGGAAAAAAACTTGAAAATAGGCACGTAAGTTTTAATTTTTTTTTGTTTGCCTACATAGGCCAAAAAATATAAATATAAATATATGTATGTCTCCAGGGAAGTTTTATGTGTATAAGGGAAAACAATGTCTTGAATGTATATATTTATTTATGTGTAATTTAAAAGGGGTTTGTAAATAATGGTGAACATTTTAATACTTTTTTAATAAATGGGATTCAGATTTTAAAAGTTTACCCCACCCCACAAAAAAAAATTAAAAAATGAAATAAATAAATAAAATACTGGCTAAACTGCATACACTGCTAGATGATGTACAGTCTGTTTTATGCTAAATATTTAAAGACTTTTTACAAATAAAATAAAATTTTCCCCTGTTTTGGCACTGGAGAGTTATATATGTTTGAAAGTGTCTGTTGACTGAGCAATAACTGCTTATTTGGTAGTATTTGGAATGAGTGCAAGATGTATTCATTTGTCTGAAATGGTATAGTGTTTCCTGCCTAAGCAGGTTGGACTAGAAGACCTCCAAGGTCCCTTCCAACCTACTCTACTCTACTCTACTCTACTCTATTCTGTTTGACTCTGCTCTGCTCTGCTCTGCTCTGCTCTACTCTACTCTACTCCACTCCACTCCACTCCACTCCACTCCACTCTTATCTATTCTATTCTGTTCTGTTCTATTCTATTCTATTCTATTCTATTCTATTCTATTCTATTCTATTCTATTCTATTCTATTCTATTCTATTCGACTCTACTCTACTCTACTCTACTCTACTCCACTCCACTCCACTCCACTCCACTCCACTCCACTCTTATCTATTCTATTCTATTCTATTCTATTCTATTCTATTCTATTCTATTCTATTCTACTCTATTCTATTCTACTCTACTCTACTCTACTCTACTCTACTCTACTCTACTCTATTTTCTATTCTATTCTGTTCTATTCTATTCTACTCTGTTCTATTCTACTCTACTCTACTCTCTCTCTCTCTCTGTGTGTGTGTGAGAGAGAATAATAGATAGAAATGATAAAACCGCAACCACTCTTTTTGTGAAGATTTATGAACATTTTCTTATTCACTATACCATTGTATACCACAATCCATGCAATTAATACAAATATTCTGGGCAGAAATATTGAATATTGTTTACTGGGGAAAACTGATTTTTTTTTCCTAATGTGGATGAGACAACAAACCCTACAAAAGTAAAGTTCAACAAACCCAGAAACTGTTACACAAGACACAAGAACAGTATTCCAATATCATCTGAGGGGATGCCACAAAGAAAAGGGAGTCAAACTATCCTCCAAGGGCAGGACAGGAAGTAACAAGTGGATGATTATCAAAGAGAGATCCAACTTAGAATTAATAGTGAGAACAATTAATCAGTGGAATGGCTTGCCTCCAAAAGTCAAGTGTCCTCCAATACTGGAGGTTTTTAAGAAGAGAGTGGACAATCATTTGCCTTGAAATGATAATAGGATAGAATAGAGTAGAGTAGAGTAGAGTAGAGTAGAGTAGAATAGAATAGAATTCTTTAGTGGCTAAGTGTGATTGGACACACAAGGGATTTGTCTTGGTGCAAATACTCTCAGGATACATAAAAGATACATTCGTCAAGAGTCATAAGGTATGACACTTAATGATAGAGTTTCCTGCTTGAGCAAGGTGTTAGACTAGAAGACCTCCAAGGTCCCCTTCCACTCAAGTTATTTTGTTAAACTGTCATTTCAATGTTTGTTATACATATGAACTACCAGGGAACCTAATAGCAGGATCTTGCTCTTATGTTTATTTTATTTATTTTTATTTATTTTGATTTGTCAATTGCTTACAAGATAATAGGTATATACATAGTTATGAATACATGAAATGGGTACATGAGAGAAAAATAAAAGAAACAATAGGACAGGGGTGGTCCCTCACCTACTTTAGAAAAAGTATATCTAAGCAAATAAAGTTGTAGGGATACTTACAATAAATACATATTCTGGCTATCAGCTTAAGGGTATAACGTGGCTATAAAGATATAAAAGGACTGGCAAGCAGGTGTCCCTGTTATCCTTAATGAATTTAGAAGACCTTGATATTTTTTAAAAAAAAACTAATGACAAAAAAAACTAAAATGGGGAATATTTCAATGGGAGATTATACTAAGAAATTTCAAGGTTATGGATTAGGGTGGGAAATCAGACCAGTCAAAAGAAGGTAATAATAGTCTTGTGGCTGTGAAGTCATGAAGTGTTGGCTTAAATGAGATTTTATGTATCTATTTAGTTTAACTGTTTGAGACTGCAGGCTATGCTGATCATAATTAGTTACAGAGTTTGGCCAATAGGTCAGAATCAAATGACTGGCTAATGGCTCACTGAAGAACCACGAAGATATCAATTCAACACACAACTTAACTAGAAACTATGTTAGTTGTCATTTTAGATAATCCACCCCCCCCCCACAATCCCAATCCCAACCCCAATCTATAGCTAAACAGGCTGAATCAGTTTCTGTACCCCAACTTCTCTGTTTCTAACCGTCCACTAAAACAGTGTTTCTGAACTGTGACAGCTTTAACCTGTGGACTTCAATTTCCAGAATTCCACAGCCAGCATGGTAGACCCTATCAGGAAACCAACATTATGAATGTTAATGCTACCTTTAGTATAAACATAAAGGAACCAAATCTTGCAAGTCTGAAGATTCCCCTCTTTCTCCCTTTATCTTTGTCAAAAACTAGAGAAGATCTTGTCTTGAGTCACTTTCTCAAATTACATTTCTGCCCCAATTTGGATTTCGTTTACTGTCTCTTGCTTTGGTTGTGGCTGTTCCTTCTGTTCCACAAGGTTATTTCTGTTTCATTGTAGGCTACTTCATAATAGCAATAGCACTTAGATTTATATACAGCTTCATAGTGCTTTATAGCCCTCTCTAAGCGGTCCACAGAGTCAGCCTATTGCCCCCAACAATCTGGGTCCTCATTTTACCTACCTCAGAAGGATGGAAGGCTGAGTCAACCTTGAGCCTGGTGAGATTCGAACTGCCAAATTGCAGTCAGCTGGCAGTCAGCAGAAGTAGCCTTCAATACTGCACTCTAACCACTCTTCCTGAGACTGCATGGCTGCTCTCTGGAGGTGCAATGCAATCCCTGGAAAAGACAGTTTAAAGAGTTGCAGAAGTACAATATTTGCATCCCTGCATACTTCAAGCCACCATTTTCTCTTTGTTTCTGAAACATTATATTACATAGGGGTCTAAGCTCCCCTCCCCACCCAGTTCTCAAAAAGAGAGCACAGGCTACTAAAGATAATTACTGTAATGCCCGATCACCATTTGAATGGGCTACTACTGTAATGCACTTTATTTGTGGGGCTGCCTTTGGACACATTTGAAGCTATAATTGGGACACGGTGTGGCATCCAGGCTGCAAATGGAGCAAATCGGCCAATTTTAAGATGGCTGCACTGATTGCTAATAGGTTTCTGGGTCCAATTATAGATTCTGCTAATACCTTTACGGTTGTGTGAATATATCACAAACTACTACTGTTGAAGGAAGGCCTTCTGAAGATCCTACTGCTTCAAGAGGTGCATGGAATGTGGCTCATATGGCAAACATTTGGCCTTCACCAGTGGTATGTGTGACACTGTCCCTTATTGCTTTTTTGGAAATCTCTGAAGGCTTCCAAGATGATTTGGTCCTGAATGATTGGGGTCATAGTTGCTATTGTTATTGATACTTGATTTCTCTTGTACTACTTGCTTGGTTGTTGCATATCATCAGGGCAATTGATCCCGGCAGTTTAGAAATATTGTAAAATACCTGTATATATAAATTCAGTTATCATAAACCACCATAGTAGAGTTGGCATAATGCTCAAAACTAAAAACAAAGTATACAGTCTAGTGCAGGATGTAATTCCAGTCTGCAGAAGTTCATTATTTGAATGCATCAGTCAATAATAATAAAGACCAACCATATGACTGGATAATTAAGTGCCTAGAAATATCAGGCGTTAGTAGAAACATCAGAAGCTTTGTGCAAAGTTCATTGGCACCATGGAAGACAATTGCTAATCAATGGTGATAGACTTGGGAGTGTCTATTGTTTGTCATTACATTGATTCCTCCGTCAGCAATACTGAATAAGTCAGGCCATGGCTACCAAGTCTGGATAATGCACATTGTGATACCTGGAGATAGCAGAAGAGAAGAAAAAGAATTTGACATAAAAAAAATCACAAAATACAAATACCTGCAAATAAAAGTAGAACTACTGTGGCAAAAGAAAGCAGAGATGGTAGCAACAATAATAAGTGCAATTCCAAAGCACCATCGCCTTTGTCAAAACAACACAAGTCATTTGCAGAAGGCAGCTTTACATGGAACAGCTTACATCCTGTGATACCTTTAATATGATTAAACAACACCTGTCTATCCTGGGTCCTCAGGAAGGACTCAATAAGTGGAGAAAAATGCCAGATCTAGTCTAAACATCTCCTTGACTGTGACCAACAATAATTTATTAAATTTGTCTTTGTTGGCCCTGGTGGATTTTGTCCTAAAATGGGCTTTGAGCCATTTGTAAAACCATTTTGATGTATCTGTAATTACTAATGCTGTTTCTAAAATGCTGATATAAATACTTATTTAACTCTTGATGGCAATTGAAAATGGAAAAAGAGACATTTTTCACGGTTGACAAAGGACAGCATCCCGTAGTAAAATGCTGGCAGCAATGTCAACCATCCACCAGAAACTTCCTACAGTAGTGCAGTCATGCATATTCAATTGTTAAATCTGATATTCTTTGTTAAAATGCAGTTAACAAGATGGAACCCTAATATTTTAGAATAGAATAGAATTTTAATAGCTTGTCAATAGTAGAATCACCATCATCATCCCAAATCAGTTCAACATAGAGTGAAA